AAAAAAAAAAAAAAAAGTCTTAAGACCAGTTTTGAGTACTACAACATTAGTGCCTGTATATACAATGTATGCTATTTTCAAAGATCTTTGTCTTACCATAATCACGAGCTTCAAGCCCAAGTCAGATTCTGAACATGCAGATGACCATGCTGATCAATCTGCACCAACCTTGCAAGCACGACTTGACAATGTATCAGGGCTGCGTTTCCTGAAACCTTCTTACCACTACGTCGTTCTTAAGTTATATCTTAAGCCGATCCTTGTCGTTAATCTGCATTTCCCGAAATGTTCTTAGTTAAGTATACCTTCTGTAAATCATACTTTCGTAAAGTTGGTCTGGACCACTCTTATGGTGCTTTTCCACTGTGTGGTACGACTCGGCTCAGTACGGCACGGTTTGCGTTTCCACTGCAGTTCAGTACCGCTTTAGAATGGGCGGGATTATTCACATGTCGTTATAGTTGCGCTGCCTCTACTACCACGACTCCTAAAAAAAAAAAAAAAAACTTTTCATTCCGCGTTGCCCCATCAAGCTCTCGCTGGATCCGCTCCTCTGCTATCAACGAGAGAAACGTCTGTTCTTCCGCAACGGACAACTTTTTGGCTGTTTAAAAAAAGAAAAAAAAAAAAAAGAAGTGCGCTCGTTCAAACCAGTTGCGTTTGATCCTTTGCTGGCTGTGCGAATTTAAATCTAGCGGTTATTTTGTGTTTGTGTCGCAAGTTGAGTGACACAGGTAGTGACGATTCTCTCCGGCCAATCCGTGATCAGCAGTTTACACGTCACGTTTTGGTAACGGTACGGTTCACTTGGAACCCCAGCCAAAGTGGTACTAAAAAAAGTACCAGGTACTGTTCCCAGTGGAAAACCCCCCAAAAAGTGAACCGTACCGAGCCGTACCGTGCAGTGGAAAAGCACCATTAGCTATACCTTATCACTGTTGGCAGTTCTTTACAACTCAGTCTATACTAAAGTAATTCTGAAGTAATACACCCAGTGTTCAATTAAACTGCAATTCTTAAAATTAAAATAAAAGAAATAAAAAAAAAAAAACTCTGAGCTACCCTCTCAGTCCAGAAATTCAGCTGCTGGCGGCTCTCCTCTTTCTTTTTTTTCCGCCATAGTAGCTGTTGATTATATGTTTCCCGTGTCGCGCTTTTGAGTAGCTCATCCAATAACATAAATTAGTGATTTACACCAATAGGTGGTAATCAACTCTGCTGGGCAATCAACTCTGGTTGTGAAGTAAATGAGCACTCTTACCTGCATGTTTTTCTGGCGGACTTGTGTAGGCCCAATGTGTTTTTTTTTCCTCTCTTCTGTTAAAAGCAGTTAAATAATTGAGCAGTGTGTCGTGTAGGTTTTTTTCCTTGTATTTTATGTGGTGACCACTGGGAGGTGCTCTGGGTATATTTTTCTTTCTTGGTTTTCTTCCCTGACGTGATGCATGTTCCAAAGGGAAAGTAAACGTTTCACACAAGTTTGTTGCATTCTAACATGAAAGAGTTCCGGGTCTTTATTTAAAATCAACACTTTTATAAAGAACACCACTTTCTCACATAAGGCACTGAAGCAGACCCTACATATAAGGGCCTTTCGCACCACTTTAGTTCCAGAACTAAATGGACAGTACTAAAGTACTGGGACGATTTTGCGCGAACTATTTCCCAGTACCATTTAAAGGGTTGCATTCGCACCGAGAGTGTGTACTAAGAAGTGACGTAAGCCGGTTGACAGCGTTGTCATTTGTGCGCGGCGTTCAACAAAGAAGAACAACATTAACAACAGGAGGATGGAGGACGCTGTGATCGGAGCTGTGTTTTTGTTGTGTCTCGCGGGTTTCACAATAATGGACATGGAATGTCGACGTATACGTAAAGCGATTGAAAGAACGGGAAGGAGGACTAAGAATCTCCAACGACAACTACCAGTGCTACATTTGCTACAAGTGCCTGCACTTCAGTGTCCGTCCATCTATCGCTGTTCTCCATACTTGCGAAATAAGTTGACAATGTTTACACGGCATTTTAAGTCATGGCGGTGAGGGCGTTTTCGTACGTGTTTGGCCAATCAATGTCTACTTACGTCACGATTAGTACCAGTTGTGCTGGTTAGACCCTGCTCCGGAGTAGGAGCTAATTTGGTTCTCGAAAAAGGCAGTCCGGTACTAAAATCGCTCCCAGTTCCGGCGGTGCGAAAACGCCAAAAAGTGGGTAGTTCCACAATTAGTTCTGGTACTATGAAAAGGTTCCTGGTGCGAAAGGCCCTATAGTGAATAATCAACACTCGAGGCATCAATATCAACCAATTCAGCACCACCGCCATGGACAGCACCTGGTAACATCGCACGTCAGGAGGTATATCTTAAGCAGCCTCCTAAGGTATAGTTCGGGGAACCCGCCTAGAATAGGTATACCTTTAGTGAAGACATACCTTTAGAGTCTTTGTAGCGTGCTAAGAGACAGCGTTATCGGGTAAAGCAGCCCAGAGCGGTAAAAGGTCACACGTGATGCTGCCAGTGTGAAAGCACAGTAGTGCGTTTAGGCACCACTGTTTTCACTGCCAGTTACAAGCAGAGAACAGCGGATACTGTACTACTAAAATGAAAACGCATCATTTGACCCCTTTAACATTCAGTAACAAACAGCCCTAGATAGACTGTTACAGAGCAAACAAAACAATCATTAAACCCTTGGACATACCATAGAAGTTGCGGTAGTAATTCAGGCCTCTATACGTCAGGCACTGAGGTTCTCGGACAGGCAGATTTGTTGCGACCTTCAGTCCCACACTCTGTCAGAACAGCGGTCAAAATACAAGTCACATTCAAAATCAATGAGTATTGAATGACATGATTACAGACAGTTTTCTACCTTAAAGGACTCGTAGGCTTGGACTGCAGGAACAGCTCGACGGGGTCGAACACTCAGACACTCTTGTTCATCCTCAACACCGAATGGATCATCTGTTGGCCACCGCACTGGAAGCAAGCTGAAGACCTGAGAGCATTTGGGGGGGGGG